GTTGCTAGACGGACACTATATGTATTTATTAAGGAAATCACGATGACACAAATGATTGCTACAATTTTATTTAAAATATTATTTGCTGATGGAGAAGGATCACTCTCAAAGGCTGTATGATATATTATACGATTCAAATATTCAGCAAATACTAGATTAAGACCATTATAAAATGTAACTTCTTTCTCCAAATGAGTAGGATGCCTTCGTGTCTCTGTTAGGGCTAATGGTATAATATGGTCATCGAAACCATCACTTTGGCGTTCGTTATTTTGAATAAATGTTTGTCGGTCCTCTCCCTCTTGGTCACTTAAATTATCAAGCACAAACGAAACTGATATTGCACATCAAATTATATGATCACGTGAAGATATCCAATCTAATTTCAAGATCGAATGTAACATAAACTCGATCTAGATAGCTAATATTTTATAAAAAAACCGTATTTTATCGTTATATTTATAATTTTAATTTGAAACTTCTTTTTAGTCAATACTAGAGTTCTGCAAGTGCCAAGCATGGTGCCGTTAAACATAGTGCCAGGGCACTATTAACGGTACCATTCCCGGCACTTGCAGAACCCTAGTCAATACTATAGAGTTATTTGAAAAATACTTCATTATCTGGCTGTGAAATTTAATATGTCATTTCTGGCATATTATATTCACTGCTAGATAAACAAGATACGTATTGGCTGCGTAGCATTTAATAATGGTATTATCCAGGTAGTTACGACGAACCAACAGAATGGCTCGAGATATTTTGATGATTGTGTCATTATCAAATAACTTGAGTTATTCTGTTGGTACGCACGATCGCAGTAGCTGCCGGATAAATGTATACCGAAAATGTGTACAAGGAAAATTCGTTAAGGTTAGAGTTAGGATCAGAGATTGGACAACTTGTGTTCCCAAATTATTTTTATCCCGTTTAAGTAAATGAAGCTCTTCTGTCATACTAATACGAAGTATCTTAAAAGTATTACGTAGTAATCCAGTATTTAAGTTTCGAATCATGCTGTAGGCTTAAATTTTTTAATACATTTAAACATTCATTATAGTGTTTAATGTCCATTAAGCTTCGATTAATTTTTCTTTGGCTAATATGTTTTTCTAATATTCTATCGAAAGATTCACGAGATAGAAAAACGATATGATTGCGGCTCCATAATGTCAATAAAGAAAAAATAATTTATGAAAATAAAACATTGTTAACGAATTTTAATTTTTATTTTATTTTTTACTGGTGCATAGTTAAACATTCGTTGCATTATTAAAGATTTAATAAGCCCGATAACCATTCCATCAATAACCCGGGTTTTTAGTGGACCGATAAATAACATATGAATGACGGAATCGACCATCGACGCGTATAATATTTATCAGCAATATTTGTGTTATCCGGCAATTCATGATCATGATTCTCAAGTCGTGATTTGCTAACTGAGTTTTAATTCGAATAA